AGTGAAATAAACTAAATAAAATCAGTAATAAAAATGAATTCAGCTCTGCTGTGACTTTCCTAATCATGCAATCAGTTCAAATCTGGTTATTAAAAATGTGTTCTATCTAAGCTAGTACTGAGAAAAACTAACAAGCTATACTATAATCTCTTTTACCTCGTTAACTTAACCAAAACAAGCTCTTCAGTTAACCCTAACTTTTTACTGTGTAATTATATAAGCTCTTAATTAAGATCAAAAAAGTTGCATTAAGATCTGTGTAAAATTCCCAACAATACCTAATACTTCTCACAAGCTCAGAAGCGTAAAGGTCTTAAATTTCAGTTTATATCAGAGTTAAATCCCTTACACGGAACCAATCTGATACTTGTTACTTATTACCAGTTGACAAGAACAATTATAGATTCTATTAACTAATTAATTGGGATGATAAAAACCTAGCTAGGTGATCAGACTAACAAGAATTAAAAACCAAACGTTCATTAAGCTCAAAACTGAAACAATTGGATAGAAGCACACAATGAAAAACCAAATCTGATAACTAATCACATGAAAAGTACTAGTAGAATGCAGAAATTGAAAACTAGGGTTTTAGCCAAACATGGCTAAAAATGAATCTAAAATTATAAAAAGATAAACTAACTAATTAATTTTACTAAGCTAAATGTAGAAGATGATTCACAGCCTTCAAATCTTCATAAAGTACTGAAAAGTATCAGAAATCGCCTGCAGAAGGCTTTTTCGTTGTTTGGAACCATCTAACCTCCGAATCTGGTCAAGAGAGTCGTATTTATATGCAAGTAGGAACCTTCTGGAACAAGTTAGTAGAAAATGCGATCGCAGATACCAAAAACGTGATCGCAGATTTGGTGATTTTTTCTAGATTTGTCTGTTAATGAAGTATGATGCTATTTTCAACATATTTGGAGTTGCGTCAAATAAATGCGATTGAAGATATAGAAATACGATCACATTTTTAAAATTTTTTCTTCCTGATGACTTTTTCGACCTTGCAAATCCTCGATCAACAAATGCAAAGGCAGATGTCCAAAAATGTGATCGTAGATTTGGCTTTTCGGCACATTTCAGACACAATTATTCATTTTAAGAATTCCAAGTCATTCTGTAGCATCCTTCCTCAGTTCCAACACCATTTAGGCTCCAAATATGCATCCAGTTGCTCCCAAAGTACCGCTCCACTAGAATTATCTGAAAACGATACAAAAACGCTAGTAGTACGAGTATTCTGATAAAAGACATGAGTTCAACATTATTCAAAGTAATGACATGAAAATGTATAAAATATGATTATAAATGGAAAAATATCCTAAAAGATGCATAAAATGGCATCTATCAACCAGAATCACTACTTGTTACATATATGTAGTTTGGCACACTTTGTGTTATAGTATGCTAGACTGGTAGGGTCTTGCCTATTTATTGTGCGATGCAGTTTAGAGTTAAGTTGGTTAGGGTAACTGGGGATGGCTATTTATCAAGGTTATGTATGATTGACCAGCGAATGACTTAACTGAGAAGTGGTCAATGATAGGGTAACTAGGTAAGGCTAGTAACCAAGGGTATGTAGTATGCCAACATATGTTATGTGTATATGTTATGTGTTTATGGTATGTGTTTATGTTATGTGTTTTTGTTATAATGACTGCTTAGGATAATGTAAGTAATGGTTGTAGCCGGTTAGGTTAGATAGCTAGAGAACTCTTGGTCTAAAGCCTTATTGGAATATTCTTGTCTGATTGGTTGCTTTCGGGTGGATCATCTATTGGATTGTCTATATGATCTCTGACTACATATAACTTCATGTATTGTATGTAAGACCAGGATTTGGCCCCTGAAATTTGTATGTAAGATTAGGAATTGGCCCATGGCATTTTGTAGGTTTGTTATAAACTACAATTTTTTCCGTAGCATTCACTTGGGATGAAATAGGCCCATTGGCTGAAATAAGATAGAAGTGATTATAAGACTGTGGGAGGACCACAACATTCACATCATAGGTTTTGACACGTATGGTTATTATGTATGCTGATAAAAAATTTAGTAGGTCGATGCTAGAGTCAAGGACTTTATGTGGATGCATTGTATGTATGATGATATATGTAGTATACTAGGAAACTCACTAAGTTTTATTTTTACAATTGTGGGTAAAATGTTTTTCAGGTTCTATTTATGTGAGAAGAGCTCGGTAGGACTGTACACACACTTGAGGATATTGATTTCTTCTATTTTGTAAATTGATTCTTATAATTATGGTTTCAAACAAATGAATGTCACTTATTGTTTTTAAATTAAACGTTTTAATTGGTTAATGTAATTTTTAAATGGAAACCACTTTTGAATTTTTGGTACGTTAAAGGGACGGAGATAAGTTTACGTTCGATGAATGGGATTTCAGTTTCAACAGTCACAAAGGAGACGAACCTATGGTCATTGGAGGATTTATAGGAAACACTTATATAAAGGACATTTTACATGGACAACGAGAGTTCTATGGACGTCATGTATAAACACTTCTACAAGAAGCTCCCTAGTCAAGTGCAAAGGAAATAAAATAACAAAAACCGTTATCAAAGAGGACATCTGGCCACCGTTTTCATCCGTCACACTACTTGTCACTTTTTTTTTATGTAAAACCGATGTTAATGTGTGAAGTCTGATTTACAACGATGACTTGTTTTCAGTAAAATGTCATGGAAATAATCATGTGAATTACTTTATGACCTTTAGTGATGAGAAATATCAAAACCGATGCCACCCTGTTTTCAAAAACAGACGCCAAAATCTAGTTTTGTAATAATGAATCAAAATGGACAAATGATTTTGTGTTCATGTTCTCCTCCGTGATACCTTTGTTTTGATGTATCACACATCCAAAACGGATTAAAAATGAATGAGAAATTACTTGTGAAAGTGAGATAATTGAAAGAGATTAAAAAAGGAGTTAATTGAATTTTGTTCCATCCCACATAGGTGGGATAAAGTAAAGGAAATGGGTATTTAACTACAAGGGTTTCTAACCCTTGAAAGACTTATAGAACCAAAGGCTCTCTCTTACGTGCGCACGCAGAGGGTGAAAACACGAGCCAGTTTGGCATAGGTTTACTAAACTTGTGTGTGAGTGTGCGTCCTGCTGGTATGAATGCGCCAGCGGTTTTGATTTGTTAATTAATTATGCTCTTTAATTGACTGTTACGTTTTGATCTTTAATAACATCAGTTGCATTTTTACAGTATAAATAGAGTAACTCCTTGACTAATTAGATTACACCATATGATCTAATCGTCTCCTCCTCTCTTCCGTTTCTACTTCTGGTTCTTCCTCCTGCTACATCCAAGGTAAGAGAGCGAGGGTTCAGCCGATCTTGAAGAATCGTTTTTCGTTGTTGTATCCTAGGAAACAAACACCCATATAAGGAGAATTTGTTGGATACTATGTTAAACACATGCCTCAACAACAATTATTTAATTTTTTTCTTTCATGCAATTACCTTTTATATTTTCCTAACAGGGACATCTATGTCTGACTCGTGGAAACCACCGTAATAGAAGCTGGATGATGATACCATTGTCGATTGGATTCAAGAATAAAACACGAAGGAAGAATCGAATTAGAATTGTTGATCGAAAAGGGCATCAACATCTAGCGGTATAACCTAATTAAGGTTCGTCCGCTTTATAAAGGGGACCAGGGAAGTTAACTTGGGGACAAAAAGTGTTACAGTGTCTCCTATGTGGTCCTCTATTTCAGCAACAAGTATCCTACGTCCGTGTCCACATCATACAAAAATTTTGTATGTGGCCTAATTACCTATCGTAAGAGATTAAGGAACTTTTTTAACCGGTAAAATCGAATTAACGCCTTGTTCCCGAGTTCCGCTTAAGGAGAGAAATGGGAGGATACGGAGGGAAAGTGAGGGGTGTCGAAGGAAAATCGTGTTCCCGAGTTTCATTAATGGAAGGAAAGTGAGGGGAGAGGAAGGATTTTAGAGTCATATTCTCCTTCCAAATTTTCCTCCCAAATTAGGCGGATTTGGGAAGAAAGTGAGGGGAAGGAAAATTTTAAGTTTATTTTCTTTTTCCTCCTAACTCGGGAACACAAAAACTAAAAATTTTCCTTTCCTTTCTTTTCATTTCTTTCGAACTCGGGAACACAGAATAATGAATATTTTCTTTCACCTCCCTTTCTTTCTGTCAAAATTTTCCTTCCTTTTCCTTTAATGAATTTACATAAAAACTCGGGAACAAGGCGTAAGTCTCCTGAAACACAAAAGAAACGACTTTTTAAAACAAACGAAAAAATCTGCAGGTTAAATTGACATTTTTCGTTTTTAAATAGACAAAAAAAATTGTAAAATTAAAATATTCAATTTAGTTTACTGTAAAGACTTGGAAACGATTTTCTCGAACAAAAGGACCCCACACAAACCCCTACACATCATTTTTTTCCCTTCATCACGCTTCTAAACCTAGATATTTTGATTCATATCTGGGTTCATATAATCGCGAAACATGAGTTAGGTTCGTTTAGTTGATTTGATCATCTCTATATGTTCATAAATTAATTTCGAATTGTTTACTAATTTGCTTTCGTTTGTTGTGTCGAGTGCCCATGTTACTTAAAGTAATTTGATTGTATGATTATTTAGTTATCAGCTTTGTTGATTATGATTGATATATCGTTTCTGTAAATGTTTGGATTATGTAGGGTTTTTTTTTTCTAAATTTGGCGTTTTAGCTTCATGTAAGGTTCTGATAATAAGAAGCATCGCTAGGGTAAGGAGAAAACCTTTTTAATTTAATCGATTTACCCGTTCTTTGTTAAGAGCAGTCATCTCTTGTAGTTGTAGAAGTTATAATTAGATTGTATATGCTGTAGACAGTTTGTGTTTGTTTTCAATTGCTGGTCCTTATATGATTTTTGTGGAATTTGCATTTCCAAACCATATTTGTTTTGTGTTTTTTGCAAGGGTAGGAATAATTATGACGAGCATAAGTCGGAATCATGATGATCCATCATCGACATCTAGCAGTAGTCATAGCAGTAGTAAGAGGATCAAGAGTAATGATGTGAATGTGAGACCTTGGTCAGACTTCAACCATGATGTGCTTTCATTAGTAATGATGCAACTTGGAGTTATCGATTTTCTTGCATTCAGTGGAGTTTGCAAGTCATGGAGATCAGTAGCACTCAGTAACAGGAAAAGGTTTATGGCATCCAAACCACCAATGTTGATACGTATCTCTATGCTTGGTCATTATATTAATAAGGATTGCTGCCTAGAGGACTCTCAAGGAAGAAAGTTAAAACACCATCCTTCCCCATTCTGCTGGCAGGTCATGTGTTGGAATAACATGCGGTTACTTGATTTTGTTCAAGAGGAAAAAAAGAGACTTTTGGCTTGTGAATCCTATCACTCGTCATGAAATTCGTTTCCGTCCTGTACCTTCTGCATGTTTCTTTTATGCTACACCAAAGATCATTGCTGTCCTTGTCAATTCACCCTCAATATCTACTAACCGTGTGCTTGTTATGTTAAACATTGACCTTAGTAAAATATGGCTTTCTAGTTCTACAGCAGCTGAGGGATCATGGAATCTTGTCTCATCCACTTTCTATATCAAATATTTACATGTTTTCAAGGGGAAGATATATACCATATGCTCCAAAGATTATTCATCGAAAGTAAGACATTTATGTGAACTTACACTGAATCCTAAGCCCGCATTGACGTTGATTGAAACCAAGAATTTTCCTAATGATGTCTTAAATTTCCAGAAGCTTGTAAGTTCAGGTGAAAACCTTTATGTGATGGAAAGCTTCTCATTTGGTTTGCACAATGTTCATGAACTAGATTTTGGAAAAAAGGAGTGGGTGCGCTTTGAAGAGACAACAGGTGAACGTGCATTTTTTCTTAGCAAATTCAGACATAGTGCTGTTGATAAACCAGAGTTGTGGGCTGACCCTCGATCGCAACGTGGTCAATGTTATTTTACTAATGAAAATACACATGGCAAATTCTTCACTATGGATCAGTGGTATTTTCCTCATGAATGTTGATATCTATGATGAGTCATGACTTGTTACCACTTTTATGCAGGAACATTTACCTGTTTTTTGAGAAGTAGCATTGCATTGGTGGATTTAAATATTGCTATTTAATTTTCTCGTTTGTCAAGTGCAGATATCATCCATATCTATCTATCTCCTTTTATGTAATTTTGTGTCCTTTGCTTTTAGATGAGTGCTATCTATCAATAATTTCTGAACCCGTTTATTGATTTCAAGTGGCATTTTGCTCTAACTGGGAAGATGCTCTTTCTTTATGGAGAAACATGTTATTCTTCCCAAATAATTCAACCAAACTCTGTTCTAAGGGTTTTTATAAATCAATATAATATGGTAATGAATAGTTCATGCCGAATATACATAGATATGTAAAGAAAATTTGACCCCAACATTCGAATGATATAATGTAGTAACATATCAAAACAGTTTAGGGTCGAAAAGATATTTTTTTTTTTTTTCATTTTACCATGTTGAGTTGGGTTGGATTGAATTTAAATAACTTGACATATATTGTTTACAAATGTTCAACTTCTATAAAAGACCTCCATTAAACAAAAACAAAAATAATGAAATCTCTCACGTTAGATTATCAATGCAAACAAAAAACATAAGTTCACGATGAAGAAAATAATGGTGTTTATCTGCACGTAAAGAGGAGCAAAGTTCTAGAAGAAAACATGACATGATAAACAACTAATGATATCAAGTACTAGTTCTAACAAAAAAGAAAGCTAGTTTGCTAGATCCTACACTACACAAATACTGCTATGATACACTTTATTCTAAGCTTCCACAATTTCCTATACCATAAATTACAATCGTGGAAAAAGAAAAATTATAATTGCAACCATGGAAAAAGAACACAATAGCGTTGACGTATACGTATATCCACTACTAGAAGAACTGTCTTTCATGACACACAATATATGTCATAAAAGGGTACAAATAACACGCAAATGCGTATCATTGAAGCCCTTGTCTTAAAGGAAGACGGCACCCATTTGCGTGTCATAAGCTTATGACACACATTTACGACATGCGTTTACGGCATGCATTGCGTATCATTAAAGCTACTATCATAAACAAAGACGACAACATTTTGTGTGTCATAATCTTAAATGTTTTACAAAATATAAATTTTGGATAAATTTACTATTTTTCAAATTAAATAACACATTTAAAATCTCATGATGCAAAATAAAATACCATAAACAAGAAAGATAATTTATTGTACAAAATATCAAATGTCAAATACAAATAATCATTCCAATAGTAACTAAATATAATAAATTGCTAATATTACATAACATTTATTATAGAAAAACAAAACACAACATTAAAAGGAACCCGAGAGTAAGTTCTCCTTTGATAGTATACATGACAGCTTTAAGCCTTGCAACTTCACCACTTCAAGATGATGGGTTTTGAGCATAACAAACAATCCCTATGTCTGCATGCAACCCTAATTTGTAGGATCTATGTTTTCACTAATTGAACATACAAGTATTGAACACAAAAGAATAAACCCTAGGAGCTACCTACTATTTTTGAAATTCATATTAAGAGATAGTAGACATACCTTTAATTGTTATGTAGTAATAACAATGTAGATACAAGAGTTCTTGAAGCTTGAGAGCAAGTGTCACAAGTGTCACACATCTAGTGGTTCACAAACACACTTAGCAAAAGGATGATATGGAAGAGGAGGAGGCTTGAAAATTTCGGCTCTTTTTATGATTTGGAGTGGCCGAAATCTCAAAGGGGTATAGCCTTTTATATAGTTGCTGGTAGCTTAGAGCCAAAGCTAGGGTTTTAAGGAGGAAACCCTAATTCCTTTGCTTAAGGCTAAGCAGCCCAAGAACCACATCCAAGAGGCCCTAGAACGAAATTTCTAGGGTATTCCTAGAAGATTTCGTCCAAACTATCTAGGAAGGTTCTAGAGCCCTATTCCACAACTATCAATAAATTGCTAAATAGCCCCTGCACTTTTAATTAATCCTTTAATCCCAAATTTAATTCCAAATTAATTTTTGATTAAATATTAATTAAATAATATGATTTCTAATTAATATATTATTTCCATAATACATTAATAAATAATTTATTACAATTTATTAATCAAATAATAAATTCAATTTCTCTCTCCAAAAGTCATCCTATCTAGTTACTAGTATGATGGCAACCCAAAAGGAGTATGCTACTATCAATTCAAGTACATACCAATTATAGTTATGAGTTTAGACACCTAATACAACAGTTTCCTAGTTGGATAAGTCTAATAACTATAGTTGCAACTATAACTTCGAAATTAACTAGCAAATTGTAGTTCTCAAAGCCACTGTCGAACTCTGACCCAATCAATTACGTGTCCTAAGATAAGGGATCAAATATTCCTCCGTTCTAAAAGATATCGTAAGGACATGAGACATGGATTATAATCAATCTCTCTATCCAAGTTTTGTTTCCCGATTTCTGATTTATGACGACTGATTCCGACTACTAATTGAACACATCAATTGAGTCCAGGCATGGCCAAGTGCTTAAGATGTCGTCATCAAATCATTGAGGGGCCTACAGATATCGCTTTTTCCGTTAGGGAAAAAGGAACCGATAAATTTCGAATTATATATTTGGACTATTCACTCATCAAATCACGCCTAACAATACGTTTTATAACATCAAGTTACTAATGCGTTTACGTATTATCAATGCACAATTGAAGCGTAAACAACAACTCATATATCTTCGTTTCAAGAATATAAGATATTATCGTCTCAAAATTACTCGTGACAAAATCCATGAAGTAATTTTCTAAGTGTGGTTTTTGTCCAATACTCAAAATCCCCATTTCTATGTACTCATGAACATTGTAGCAAAACTATTGCTATGTCTAAACCCTTAGACAATCTACAATTCAATTCATGATAGTCTTGATTCGATACTTACTTCCAAAAGTGCGAGCGACTATGGAGTTTTGATTAGTCCAATTATTCGGGAAGTAAAACATGCAAAGTGAAACATAATAATAACCTAATTAACTATGGTCTCAAAATTATTGAATATAAATAAAACTCTTATTATTTAATCACCATATTAATTAGACTTTATTCATTGTATAATGTTTCAATTAATCAACTAAACACTTGAATTAAACATTAGTCATGTCATGTTCTAAACATGCATACTATGTCTCTCTATGGTCTTTCCTTTGTGAGAAGATCGATTGGACATTATTCCAATGATTCTCATTTCACAATTTCAAATTCTCATTACTACTTAATGTGTTAGAGTTCCAACTTTAAATGCATTATCATTCTGTGATGTCAAAGCTTCAAAGTCATAGAGACTGAGCCAACGATATTACAGAATGTACCATTTGGAACTTTGTTACGAAAAACAATTCCAAAGTAAAGAAGATTCAAATTCAAGGCATGTTCCTTGAGCACCTTCCTTGCATTAAAGTTTCTAACTCACAAGTAGATTCTAATCATCAAATCCCATTATTGAAACATTTTCATATTCTCATATGACCATAAATTCTGAACAAGAATCAATTCTGAATAAGAATCACTTCCACTCAGAATTATGCCAATATGGTCTGTCCAAATATCACTATACTTCTAATTATCCACAAGCAACTAATCTTCAGCAAACCTCAGAGTGTTCTTGATAGTTGTTTAACAACTTTACTCACATCAAGTTCTAGTCCTTTTTCCTTCTCAATGCCCTAGGCATTTGGAAAAATTAGAACAAGCGAATATTATAGCATATGTAATCAATCCTATATCCAAAGCATATGGGACTTGATTCAAAATGTCTTATACAAATCCCTGATATCTGTTCAGTCTCTTGCTATAATATTTCCATATATCGAATTTCCTATGTTGAAACATTTCAACACGATATTCATATATGTCCAAGACAAAGTTCCATTAAACTTCAATCTAAAATTTTAGATTTGAAATAAAGTATGAGTGCCCTCTCCCCTAAATCTTTCTGTAGTGAAACAATTCCCAAACTATGCAATTTGCAAATTTGAAGTCATTGTTTCTTACAATTAGTATTGCCAACTTGCAACACTCAGCATAACAATTACGCTCCCACTAGCTTTAACATGTATTCATAAATCAACTGGACTTCTAGAAATCAATACTTTTTGACTTTCTCACTAAAGTGCATATTTCTGATACGTAATGCTTTGATAAGTCTTCAGTCAGAATTCTCAAGCTTATACACCTTTCATTAGATAGTATAAGTGTGTGTGTGTATTTAAACCCTTTCAGAACTTATAACTATGAGTCCCGAACGTTCAAAACTATTTCTTGTCATTTCTCACAATTCGAACTATGAATATGGATGCCATAATCATATTGCAAATTTGAGAATGCAATTAACACAACCACTAACCAAAATGATATTTTATCAAATCTTTAAAATCTGATGGCGAAAGTGTTTCCTCATAATCATTTTCATGAATTAGAGCGAAACCTTCTACCACCTAGATTTTATGGTGTATGTGTTCCCATCCATATGAATCTATCATTACCAATCTACAATCATAAGATAAGGTTGAGGACAAAACCAAAATCAAATCTAGTTTTTCCTTTCATGGACTTAACTTTCCTTATTCTTAATTTCTTTCCTTTTGGTAGCACAAGGGCCTACTAGTGCTTCGAAGTTGTTAAAGCAATTCCCCTGTATTGATCAATGTACTTCCACTAAACCAACGTGCTCTACCTTTTGTAGTCAAATGAGAACCATAAAACTCATAAGCATTGCCAACTTAACTAGAAGATGCACAAAAACAAGAATGTATCAACTTAATACGATAGGTTATCAACCTCAGGTCGTGTGCTAGTGATAACTAAAAGGTTTATTCTTGATTGACTCGTAAAACTCTTCGAGATCAATAAAACTCCCACTGACTTGTTGACATATAAGTTTTCCTTTTAAGGAACATTCCTCGAGAAGCTTAAACAAATATTCAAAAG